AAACAAGATTTTTAAAAAAGATTTTTTTAATTTATTTGAAAGGCAGAACAAGAAAGAGGGAGAGAGAGAGAAAGAGATCTTTTATTTACTTGTTCACTCCCCAAATGGCCACAACAGCCATGCTTGGGCCAGGACAAAACCAGGAGCCTGAACCTCTGTTTGGGTTCCCCACGTGGGTGACAAAGACTCAAGCACTTGGGCTGTCTTCCCAGGCACATGAGAAGGAAGCTGGACTGGAAGTGCAGGAGATGGTCTGATACAAGGTGCCTGCATTAGAGGCAGCGGCCTAATCCACTGTGCCAGCCCGAATGTAGATTCCACCAAGGAAGAGGTGCAGACGACAGCAAAGTCCACGAGAAGACACTCCCCACCGTTAGTCACTGGAGAGGTGCAGTTACAGCTGCAGCGAGATAACCTGCGTTCCCACTGGTCTGGCCAACGTAAAAACATGAAACTGACGGGACCACGTTTTGGCTAGGATACAAAGTGACTGGAGCTCTCCTATGCTGCTTGTGGGAATGCAGCCTCTTGGGAAAGCGTTGCATCCGTTTCTTCTAAGGTTACACATGTGCTGACCCCACGGATCAGCAACCCCTTCTTGTTTACCCAAGGAAATGAAAAACTCACTTTTAGACAAAAGCCTTTATGCAAATATTTATGGCAGCTTTATTCAGGATTGCCCAAGTCTGGAAGCAGCCCAGATGTCCTTTAGCAGGTGAATGAGTGAGTGAACTGTAGCTTGGCTACACATGGCGTCCTACTCAGCCGTACAAAGGAGCAACTATTGGTAGAGGCACCAGTGCGGCCTAAGCTTAAATGCATTATGTTAGAAAGAACGACTCCTGTGTCTCCTACTGCATGATTCCACTTCTGTGACTTTCCGGAAAAGGCAGAGTTAGGTTTGGAGAACAGATTAGTGATTGCCAGCCAGGGAGCAAGGGGTTAGGGATTAGGAATGGGAGTTGATTCCAAAGGGGCGATGGGGGAATTGTTTTGGGGGGTGATAGAGTGGTAGAACCATTCTGTATTGTTTTAAATTTTATTTATTTGAGAGCAAGAGAGTGAGAGAATGAATGTTTCCATTAGCTGGTTCACTCCCCCAAATATCTGTGACAGCCGGAGCTGGGTCAGTCTCTCTGAAGCCAGGAGCCAGGAACTCCATCTGGGTCTTCCACGTGGGTGGCAGGGACCGGACCACTTGAACCATCACCTGCTGCCTCCCAGGGTGTGTGTTAAGAGGAAGCTGGGATCTGGAGCGGAGCCAGGACTTGAGCTCAGGCGCTCTGTTAAGGGCTGGGTCTGTTCTGAGTAGCAGCTTAGTCCTTGTGCCAAAATACCTGCCCTTGCCATTCTGTGTCTTGATTGAGGAGGAGTTCCTGTGACTGCATTTGTTGAGAGAGAAACATTCGCCCAAAAGAGTGGATTTTCCTGTGTTACTTTTTTTTTTTTGGACAGGCAGCGTTAGAGAGACAGAGAGAAAGGTCTTCCTTCCGTTGGTTCACCCTCCAAATGGCCGCTATGGCTGGTGCACTGCACTGACCTAAGCCAGGAGCCAGGTGCTTCCTCCTGGTCTCCCATGTGGGTTCCACTGCCTTCCTGGGCCACAGCAGAGAGCGGGACTGGAAGAGGAGCAACTGGGACAGAACCCAGGGTGCCGGCACCACAGGCAGAGGATTAGCCTAGTGAGCCGCGCGCCAGCCCCTGTGTTACATTTTGAAGTAAAGAAATGAGAGTGAGAATTGGAGTACTCTTGTCATTGGGTCAGCAGTGAAGGTGCTGCTGGTACTGTCAGGTGCGGTGGAGCCTCAGAGGTACCCCAAGAAGCTGGTCTGTGCATACAGTGGAATTAAACTGTGCCAGCCACTCGAGTGCCCATCCCTGGACCGTGGCATTGTTGTGCAGAAGACACTCCCAGACCGCCCTGATGTTAATGACTTGGCTGCAGATAGAACTGTGCAGTGCCACTGCATCCTCTGCACTGCAGTGCCTGTGGCTTCTGCTCCAGGACATGGGGCAGGAACCTGGGCCTGGGCCTGTATGAACTCGGGCTACACACAGGGTACCCGGGGTTTCCTTCCTCTGCGAGTCTCTGTTCCATTCTAAGGGGGAATTTGCTCCTTTTTCTCTACATCGTTGGGGTTTATGTTTGCTTCTCTTTGGGTGTTTCGGGAGGCAGGAGAATGTTAAGGGCACCTGCTTAGGTTTTAGTGTCAGGCACCAGACCAGTGATCTTGGCTAAGTCATTTAAATATTTTTGGCATCAGCTTTTTCATTTCTAAAATGGGAATGTGTATTAGGATTTGTAGCTGGGAGATAGATTGTGTCTCCAGAGATTGGACCCATGGATTGGACCCAATAGGGAGGAATTAATTGGGATAAAGATCAGTTCCTCTTCTCGGGCTCCCAAATCCAGCAGCGCTCATGCAGAATGACATGGACTGAGTGGAACTGACGCCCATGAGGGAGACTCAGGGCTTTTAGGTAACACAGGTTCGGTGGAAAGCCAGGGATGTGTGGTGGCCACAAAAGGACCAGTCCAGTCAGGCTCCTTAAAAGAAGCACAGGCTACAGAACAGAGGGGTGAGTGATGCTCTTAATCTCTGCGCCAGCCCACCTCACCTTGGGCCGGGGGCTCTGTCCCGGATGTTCCACTGTACCATGGATGTTTACAGCCTTTGATGCCAGGACAGGACAGTCAAATGACAGGTGACCGAGAATCGGTTTGTGTAAATAACAGTTGGAGAGATTGAGCCGGAAGAAGAAGGATTTGCTGGGGTCGTGACAGCCGAGAGTACGTAAGGGAACTCCTTGCGGAGGAGTGATTTGACCCGAGGCTGTCTTTGCCCGGAATCAGAGCTGTCCGATGGAACTTTCTGTAATGATGGAGATGTTTTGTGTTTCTGCTGTGCAGAACCTATTAGATTAGTGCTTTCTGAGCTTTCAACTCTGGCTACAAAGGACATTTTAATTGATAAGTAATTGCTGTGTCTAGGGGCTACCGTATTGGACAGTGCAAGTCTAGAGGGCAAATAAGAGCATGGGCCAGAGGCTGGTGATTTTTTTCCACCAAAGGCAGGAGAGTACACATCTGGGGCTTTACAGGACGTTGACTCTGTTGCCTCTGCTTGGCTGTGCCTCTGTCGTGTGGACGCAGTGTGCCTAGAAGTGTGTCACTGTGTTCCAGTAAAACTCTATGGACCCCAAATTTGAATTTACTATAATGGCCACACGTCACAAAATATTATTTTGGTTTTTTTTTTTCAACTATTTAAAAAAGTGTGAAGGCCATTGTTAGCTCACAGGTTGTACAAAAACTGGTGAGCAGCTGGACGTGGCCTGCGGGCTGTAGTTTGCTGCCGTGGGTAGACTGCGGGTGGACACTTCAGCGAGCCACGTGTCAGTTCAGAAAAGCATGGTGATGATTAGCTAGAGGTAGCCAGAGAGGGGACATGCAGCCTCAGGAAGTGGTGAACCTCTGTTGCGGAACAGTTTAAGTATAAACTGGATGATGAACTGTCTGGGGAGGGATGCTGTAGAAGTGGGTCCATTTAGTACAGGCGATTCTAGGGTTTTCTTTTAATTTGGTAGGAGTATCGAAGTGAAGATGACGTTTGACTATTTACTTAATTTAAGAAAGTAATATGAAACTCAAGTCTGCCTCACATGTGGTAACCTTGTTCTACTTTGTCCTTTTCTCATGTTGACCATTGCTATTTCTCCTGAGTCCTTTGAAAAAATGTTTATTTGTATTTATTTTAAAGAAAGAAGGAGAGAGGGAGGGAGGGAAGGGAAAGAGAGAGAGAAGAATCTTCTCTTAGTAGATTCACTCCCCAAATGTGTGCAACAGCTGGGCAGAGCCAGGCCAAACCCAGGAGCCTAGAACTCCGTCCAGGTCTCCCATGTGGGTGGCAGGGCCCCAAGTACTTGAGCTGCCCGCTGCTGCCTCCTGGGGTGAGTACTGGCGGGGAGCTGGAGTCAGAAGCAGAGCTGGGACATGAACCAGGTTCTCAGATGTGGGATGCAGATGTCCTACACGTCGTCTTAGCTGCTTGGCCAGAGGCCCGCCTCTGTGACTGCTTCACAGTGATCCTCATAGCCGCTCTGTAGAAGGAAGTTGTTTCCTCTTGCTTTGTCCTTACTGTCAGCCCCACGTCACTGGGTCGGGGACGGTCCGCGCTGCTGAGCGGGCGTTCTTGCTTCGGCAGTTCTGCCAAGCGTCTGGGGACCCCTGGGCTGTGCCTTACTGGGGAGTTGGTATCGGCCATTTATGTGCAGTGGAAGAGACAAGGTTGAGAGAACCTGAGGCTTCCCACCCTCAGAGGGGACATGCCCCTGGCCACATACCGCCTCATTCCACCGTGTAGCCCACCTGCTGCAGACAGCCTGGTTGGGGTTAGGATGCAAACTTGAGAGCCCTTACCCCTGAGTTAATTCTTTCCGGGGGTGGGTCGTGCCTCCCGCGACTGGAGAAGCTCCCCTGTACCATTCTGCCCCTGGACAAGTGGGGGAACCGCTGCTGTCCGGGCAGGCTTTCTTCAGACTGATCTCTAGGGCCGCGTCCAGTGGACCCGCTGCCCGGGTGCCGGTTGTCCAGTCTGTGGACCGTTAGACGTGCGGTCATTTCTGTTCCTGTCGATGCTGCTTCCTTGTTATTTTCTTTTGCCCTTTTGCCTGCCTCTTGAGCATTTCACTCCCAGTCCATGCCTCTATCTACAGCCCAGCCTGCCCTTGCCACAGTAGTTTCTCGACATTTTGGTGAGGCACAGGAGGCTTAGCTAGCTTTCTCTGGGGCCATCTGAAGCACACCCAGAAGTAGGCTGAAGAGCGTAATCAATGTGCCCATCATCAGCTCGAGCGGTGACCAGCTCCTGACTGATCTGATGGCCCCCGCAGGTCCCTCTGCCCTCCCATAGCACTTTGGGGCTAACCTTCAGGGAGCTTTAGACACGGTGGGCCGACCCACCTGTGCACTAACACGAGTGTCCTGTATTCTTTTTCAGATAATTGCCTTTGATGAGTTAAGGACGGACTTTAAGAGCCCCATAGACCAGTGCAATCCTGTGCACGCGGTAAGTCATGGTGACAGCGACGAGTCGGCGGCTGCCCAGGGCCTGGCCAGGCGGGCGAGGATTTTGATGAGTAGGATGAGTAAGAACACCTGTCTGCTGACTGAGCCTCTGTTGCTGGCTCGAGGTTGTGGAGGCGCCTGCTCATTCTTGAGGTCTTGAGCTATCCTGCAGGGCAAGCCTGAGGGCCCCAGTAGCCCAGGGGACGGGCTTGCCGTGCCCTGGCTGTTGAGTCCTCAAGGCCCCGTGTTAATGGCTTTGGTTCCTCCTCGTTGAGCAGAGAGAGAGGCTCCACACTGGCTGGCCTGTTGGTTGCTCTGCCCTCTCTACTTGCGTGCCAGGTTTCTCAGGTGGGGATTTGGTGGGTAGGGGGGCACACAAGGCTCCTGGCACCTTATCCACAACTAGCATGTGTTCATCTCGGAGAGTTCTGCGATCCGAGGCCAGCTCACCTCCCGGGGACATCCGATACAGTCTAGTTGTTCCGGTTCAGGTTAAGTGCGGGGGAGCCCACCTGCCTCAGCACACGTGGCTCCTGGGGTCTCCCTGCTCGTCTCGGTGGTCAGGGCCCACATGCTGCCCTTCTGTCTGCCTGGTTGTACCTCTGATTGGGAGCCTCTGCATGGATGTGGAAAGAGAGGCCTCGATTCAGGGAGCAGAGGGGGTGCCATTTCTCTTGGGGGTGGGGGGAGGGTGGGTGTGGGCAGTTTGCTTCTCTGGTTAGCACACCCCAGAACCAGGGCCAAGTGTGTGTGCAGGCAGCGCCTCCTCCAAACTTCTTCCAGGCCAGCACTGCTGAGGTCAAAGGCTATCCCAGGGCACTTCTCAACCCCAGCTTGCTGGTTCTGTGTTTGGTTGAGGTCCCCCCCTGGGCCACGGTTTCTAGTGCCAAAGCAAGTTCCTGCCTATTTGAAGAGCTTTGTTGCTATTTGAGGCCGGAAGCTGTAGAGAGATCACGAGGCTGTTCTGGGTGGGACCACCTGAAACTGGGTGTCACCCGGCATTGTCCTCGGCCACTGAGACAGAGGGGGCCCTTGTCCTTATTAGCTGCGGGACCCCAGGAGGCCCCACACACTCATTTGGAAGAGCAGGCTTCAGCGCCCTCCTCTGCAAAGTAGACAGGCCTTATTGGAACTGTCATTTGTTTCTGGAGTTTTTACCGTGAGTTAGGAACTTTACGTAAATAACCTGTAATCCTCACAAAAACTCTGCCAGATGAGGGTCATTGACCCAGCTTGTATCCTCCTAGCGGACTCATCCAGGGACTCGGGACTTGAACCCGGGTCTGTGTGGCTCTGAGGCACACGTTCTTTCCACCTGCTCTGTTGTCTCTCTAAAGAGACCTGAGTGTATGCAGTGTGAGGCTGCCTTTGGCACCACGTGCTTTGATCCCATGAGATAGAGCCAAACCCTTGACAGTCAGCTGTGTAAACATCACTTCAGAAATGTCCTGTATTTCGTGAAACTTAAAATGATTACAAGCCCATTTTGTTTGCATCCACCAGCCTCACCCTCCACCTGCGATCAGTTGGGGCTGTCAGATCTGAAACAGTTGCACCCGAGGTCTCCTGTCTTTCCCATGTGTTTGGGTTTGCACCGGCATTGCACACCTGGCTCACTGACGCCTCCCAGGGGCACCGAGCTGCTCAAACCTGAGAGCAACAGTGAGAGCACTTCCATTTCAGATGCCGGGGAAGACGGGGGCCTGCGTTCCTTCCTCCCAAATGTTCTAGGTCAAATTAGGAAAAAACAAACAAACAAAAAAACAGCAAAGCATCACATAGAGAGTGCCCTGAGCTTTCTTGTATCATCCCAGAGTAAATGTTGCTGAAGACATTTTTCCTATCGCTCGGCGAATCCCCCAAATCCCACGCTGGGTTATAGGTGATTGACAGAACCAGGAGTCATCCATGTGGAGTCCATATCCACCTTGCCATGGCGACTGCCTTATTTGGACAGAACAAACAGAACTAGGCTAGGATAAGTTCCCTGGAGCTTCTGGGAGAAGCCAGTGCAGGAATGGAACTTGCACATCGTAGGTGTCCCCCGACTGTCTGATGGAGAATGAGTGGCACAGCTGTGCAGCACTGCAGCTGGATCCTACTCCAGTCACTAACGCCACCTTCTAATTAGTTAACAAATTAATTACAGAGCCTGTGCATGAAGCTCAGACATTTCCCCGACAGCTCAGAGCCCCTAGGTGCCCCTGGGAAAGATGCTTATCTGAGATTAAAAACAAAAACAACCCTACCCCCCGCCGCCATAAAAACCATAAATGGAGCAGCATTAGACACTAGGTTCTTTATACCTGGCAGGAAGTTGAATGGTTTGGATGCCTCATTTAGCTCATCTGCAAGCTCTCTCAGCCTCTGCGGAGCCCCTGAAGCAGCACTAGAGGCTCTCAGTGGCATACAACCCCCCGACATGGCCGGCTGGCGGCTCTGGCCCTGGAAGGCCTTGTGTCCCACGTAACTGCTGGCCCGTGTGATGCATTTCTCCATGAGGGCATGAGGCTATTTGCATTTAAGATGCTCCCAAATGGCCAAGTGTTGCTGGGCTCCGTGGCGAGCCCCGGGGTGGCCGTGGAGAGGAGCTGGGTGCTGTGTGTCACTGCTCACTCCTCAGGCTTTGCCTCCGTTGACCGGCTGGGCATTCGCAGAGCTATGGAGTCTCAACAGCTGCTGTGGTTGCCGGAGAGAGGGCTGTGGTGTGTCGGGTATATGTGCACCTGTGTGCGCACACACGCAGACACACACGTGTGAAGCGGGATGCCATCTGTCCTCCCGGCCACACGGACTCTAATTTGTTCTGATGTGTGCTCCTGCCTCTGGGCTCCAGGGTGCACAGGAGTCACTTCACATGGGATTCATTTAGGGGAGTGGAAGTGGGCCAGCCACCTGTCCTCTCCCCATCCACGAGGCGTCTCATTACCATTATGTCTGCGGCAGCCAAATTGCCTCGGTAATGAAGCATGGGGTGCTGCCCGCCCCAGCTGTGTCCCGTGTGGCTATGGAAATCAAGAAAAAGGGAGGCGGCAGCTTTGAGTGCACCGTGCGGTTATCATTAGCTGCCCGGCCTTGGGGCGTCCTCCCTGGGCAGCAAGCCAGACCTCAGAGATGCACTTGGACTTCTTAGAAGGTCTTAGCCTGGGGGCACGGTTGGTGCCGAATTTAGTGGGGAGATCACTTCCCCCAGGTATACTCACTTTGGCCAGTGGACAGAGAACTGGTCCACGCATGAGAAGGCACATGCCGTTGGAGACCTGAGTGGAGGGACCTCTGAGGAGGGCCGGCTGCAGGCCGCAGGGCCCTCTGTGATCCCGTGGTACCCGTTCTGTAGCGCGACTGTCTTGTGTGGATGTGGAGGCTGAGACCTTGTCTGCAGGCAGAAGGGCATTTAAAGCTGTGCTGGGTGAGAGGCAGCCTGAGCCCCGGCTGTTTGATGGGGGAGTTCTGGTGGGAGCAAAGGAGCCTGACAAGGAGAGCAGGGGAAAGCCTGGTGCCCAGGAGGGCTCTGGGTTAGGGTCCTGGGCTCGTGGTGTGGGCTGCTCCCCGTCTTTCAGGAGGCCCCCTCACCTTCCCTCTGCTTCCTTTCTGGTGCCTCCCACCCCCGACAGAGGGAACGGCTGAGGAACATCGAGCGCATCTGCTTCCTGCTGCGGAAGGTCAGTGCCTGGGGAGGGCGGGCTCACGGGGAAGGGGGCGGGGGAGGCCTGATGCCTGCACTGAATGGCAACAGGGGTGGGGAGCTGGGAGCGAGCGGTCAGGTCATTGGAAACTGCTGGAGACCAGAGGAGCTCAGGAAAGGGGGTGGCCATCCATCAAAGCGTCAGGTCGGCAGTGGGTGGTTGCAGGTGCCCTCTGGCTGGATCTCCAGGCTCTTCGTCCTTGCGTGATGATGGATGGCATTTCCAGCTGCTGTCGCTGCACAGCCTTTGTTCCTGCCGAGTGCTGGCTCAGGAACATGCCCTCCTGACTTCGGGAAGTTTTTAACTGGGTATTGGGTTTCCTTTGAGGATTCTGGGCGTCACTCAATGTGGCAGGTTGATTGGCAGCATTATTGGGAGTGTCAGAGGGGAAGGGTGGGGGTGGTTATTAAAGGGGGGGACGTGCTATGCAGGGAGTCTCTCTGAATGGGTGGAGGGGGCTGTAGGCTGCAGCTGCCCTAAACTCATTCAGGAGGCACGCCTGTGCACCTGCAGCTCGGGATTGCTGCTCAGCGCAGCTCCATCTGGTGGGGCTGCCTCCCTCTATCAGGAAACGGATTTGCAGGGCAGTTCTTGCAGCAAAATGCATAGAGCAACAACTTGCAGGTAAACTAAGTAGCATCCGAAGTCTTGAGCCAAAGGACATCCCTGACTTATGTACGGAGAGGATGGACAGCAGGCCACAGGACCTGTCAACCTAAAGGGCATTTCTGAGCCTATCTGAATAGGAGGGAAACCAAATGCTATGCCCAGGCTGACAGAAAGGAAAACATGTTGCAGGCTTTTGAAATTTTGTCTGCATTTCAATAATGATACCTTTCACTGGGAGAGAGTGCTTAATCAAGAAGCCAATTAGTTTTCCAGCTAATCACTTGTCCTTGAATGTTTCGTAAGAAACTCCGTTAGAATTCCACATCTCCTGTGGCACGGCAGGGAAGTGTGATTAGATGAGACATGCATGTGAAAATACTGGTGCTCCAAGGAATAAAGAGTAATGGATAACATGACTTCATGAATATGTAAATCACTTTCCCCGATCGTACCTTGGACACCCACCGGCTGCTGCAGCTATCACTTCCACAGTCTGTGGATGAAGTAGCATAGAATGGAGCAAGACCAAATCAGAGCATTTTTGCTCAGACTCCAGATTGCCCTTTTTTCCCCTGACTGTCTCATCTGTGTTCTGGGCGGAGCAGCAATCCCTGTCCACGTCATTTTAGCCCTGATCGTCCTTCTGTATTGCTGGCTCCTGGACTCTGGCTGCACAGCAGGCAGTGGCCTGTGGCTGCCTCTGCCAAGGGCCTGCTGCTTACAGCCTTAAAGCCCCCAGATCTTTCAAAGGTCAGAGCCCGGGATATGTAAGTAAGCAGACTTTGCAAGCATTAGCATTGCCACTTGGAAATTTGCATATAGTTTGCATACATTTCTAGGAACAGTAGCCTGAGACGTTTCACTGCAGGGAACATCGTATGGCAAGTCCCTCTTCCTGGATTTTGCCCTTTTCACTCACTCTTGCTCCTCCTGTCCTGCCACCTGGGCTGCTGCTTAAAGTTAAACACAGTTGCTGCTCACCATGGTGCAAAAGAGCGGGGAGAAAAGTTCCACACAGACATCAGAGGACACCACAGGTGGCCTTGAAGGCTTTAGGCATCGTGACTGGGTGATCACACATTCTGCAGCCTCATGGCTTCCTGGCTCCCAGGAGAAGCTGCCCCGGAGGCTGGGGGCAGCGCCCCTTGGCACTCTTGAGGCAGAGACAAGCCGCACGCCCACAGCTTGCTTTCCGTGGGGAACTTGCTCCTTCTCAGCCCGCTTGCTGCAGGCACATCATCCCTTTAACACCGTGTGTGTGCCCTGAACGCTGGATATCGTTTTCAATGACGTCAGCCTGACTTCTTTCTGAATGTAGTTTCAGATTGTTGGTACTTCTCGCGGGCTGGCTGTTGAGGTCTTGCTGTAGCTCATGTGTTCTTTTGCTTAACTTGGGAACTCCCTTTACTTTCCAAGGTTCCTGTAGGTACTGTTTGGTAGGTCTCTCTGCTCCCATTGGAATGTCTGGAGGGGCAGGGTGGTTCATTGCCTTATCCAATGACACAGGTGTACACCAGCACTGACCCTGCTGACGGTGCTCAGTAAGTGTTAGGTAGGAGATGTGGCATAGTGGGTTAAGCCGCCGCTGGTGACATCTGCGTCCCATAGCAGAGTGCCGGTTCAAGTCCTAGCTGTTCCATTTCATCCAGCTTTCTGCTGCCGTGCCTGTGGAGGCAGTGGAGGGTTGCCCAAATACCTGGGCCCCTGCCAGCTATGTGGGAGCCCCAGATGGAATTCCTGGCTCCTGCCTTTAGCTTGGCCCAGCCCTGGCTGTTGTGGGTATTTGGATTTGGGGAGTGAACCAGTGGATGGAAGACCTCTCTCTTATACACACACACACACACACACACTCTCTCTCTCTCTCTCTCTCTCTCAAATAAATAAATATTTAAAACATATTAATTAAGAGAATAAATGAGTGCTAACTTCTATAATCTAAATCCTCATTGGGAGCAATGGGATTAGCCAGTCATCTGTTCATTTCTTCATTTCAAGGGTGTTCAAGGTACAGATGTTGCTCCATGTACAGCTTACATTGTACAATCGCATTTAACTCGGTGTTGCATTGCCGTCTGACCCAGGAGCTGTCTGGCTGACGGCAGCCCCTGTCCCCACCCTTTCCTGGCTGCTGATGCCTGCCTCGCCTTTCCGCAGTTTGAACTGAAGCCTTCCACCGTCTTCTCCCCGCACACGGGGTCCTTCAGAACCGAAGGGCATGCGTGAACTGCTGCTTCCAGGTCCTGCCTCTGCCCTGGCTGTCCACGTGGCCCACAGGGTGTGCCTGAGAGCGACTGCACAGGAGGTCATGATGAAGACATCACTGTCACAGCGTTGTTGCGAGGATGAAGGGAGATGAGACTCGTGTATCCAGCTCTTAAGTGCTCAGTGCATACGAGAGGTTGTTAGCATCCTGACCTTTAGCTGCTACCTGAAAGCTCTGTGACAGCCCTGAGCACACACTGGTGCTGAGTCAGGCCGAGGTACTCTGTGGCCGTGGGTGTGTCCCTCTCTTTTGATGTCTGAGCAGCATCGCAAGGTGGGGCCGCCTGGGCCACATTCCCCCCCACTCTGGTTGATGGGCTTCTGACTTCAGATTCCCAAGCTTTGTATGTATATACTGGGGTCGGTGGGGAGGGCTGATGGCTCTTTGTTAACATCACCCTTCCTGGGAACGTTCATCCCTTCCAAGAAATTTCTTGGAACTCGTCTCCTAAACACCCCAGGATGTGATGCATCTCAGCTGCTGATTGTTGTTAAACCGCTAAACCACCTCCTCAGCTTTCGTAGGAGAGAGGAAGGGATTTTCAAAGTGGATCCATTTTTAGCTCTATAATTATCAGCAAGTGCGTTCTTTGGGTAATTGTCTGAGCTGCAGGATGCTTGTGTCGACTTGTGCTTGTGATTCATTTTTCGTGGCAACAGCCACTTGCTTCTCGTGTGGTTCTCCCCACCAGAGCTTGCTGCAGGCTCGTGGGGCCTCTGAGCAGAGCAGGTTTGGAGCAGGACGCATCACAGAAGGCAGAGGGTAGTTTATGGGCTGCTTTGAGGCACATCTAAAGTTCTTGTGGGGAGGAGACTGGGGCCTCCTGTTGCAACTGCAAGTTCAAGGAGTGCTTGGAGGACGTGAACACGTGTGTCAGCTCTAACAGTTGATGTGAGAATAAAGAGAAGCCTGCCCCATGAGCAGTGGCCATCAAACCTTGGCACTGGCTGCCCTGGAGTGGGGGTGGGAGGGCTATTGCAATATTCATGTCTCTTAGACCAAGTTAGTCCAGCTTGCGTGAGAGGTGATTTGAAGCCAGACTGAGCCTGTTCAAGAGGGGAGCTGCTTGGGTACAGAGTATGGAATGACCCTCTGGCCTGACAATCTGGAGAGTCTCCAGTTCATGTTCTGATTTCCCCAAGAGTGTGTGCAGTCCTGCTGCAGGTTTGATGTCAGAAGCTCTAGGGGATGATGTTTCCTTCTCCCACTGAGCAGCTCTCACTAAGGTGTAGTGGAGGAGGAGGAGGATGAATGAGTGGCACTTGGGATGGGTGGGGAGGTTGACGGGAGGGACCAGGTGCCCAGGTGGAATTCTGGGAAGAACACGGAAGTGGTAAAACCACTGCTGTTCCCATGAATAGCCACCTACCTGGGCCTCCCACTCCGAGAGCCACCCCTCTGACCTAGGGAGGAGTCGTGATGTGAGAGGTAAGTAGGGCTGGAATCAGCTGCAGAAATTCCATACTGTGGTTCTGAAAGCAGACGCTGGAGGAGGTGGGGGCATGGATGTGACACTTTCACAGCGAGGAGTTGGTGGCATTCAATGAAAACATTGCATTATTCCCAATTCCTTTTTTTAAAGATTTATTTTTATTTATTTGAAAGAGTTACAGAGAGATGCAAAGAGAGGCCTTCCATATGCTGGTTCACTCCCCAGATGGTCGCAATTGCTGGAGCTGCGCCGATCCGAAGCCAGGAGCTTCTTCCAGGTCTCCCACGTGGGTGCAGGGGCCCAAGGACTTGGGCCATTTTGAACTGCTTTCCAAGGCCATAGCAAAGAGATGGATTGGAAGAGGAGCAGCCTGGACTAGAACCGGCGCCCATATGGGATGCTGGCGCTTCAGGATAGGATTTTAACCCACTGTGCCACAACGCCAGCTCTTATTCCTAATTCTTCATCTTCCTCTGGGCCCAGGACCAGCTGTATAATTTGCAGGGCCCCGTGCAAAATGCCAACGTGGGGTTCCATGTCAACAAGTTGCATTCTTACAGCTGAGCGTGCAACCAATGGCGAGGCCCCTCTGAGCTCACTGCACTGATCACACATCCCCGAAGCCAGCGCTGCCTGTGTCCGTGACCTTTGCTGTGCGATCCAGCAGTTCCT